TATCGGAAGTGAAAAAGTGGTATCGGGACATCCCTACATATCACATTTAACAGTCATTATATCCCAGCATAAACTAACAAATATTCAAGGTATCATGCATCAACAGTACAAATATTAACATTTCAAACAAAACTTTACAGTCCAGTTATGAGTAATGATAAACAAGTAATCTAAATCTAATTTTTTATTTGCTGTAAATCACAGCTGTGAACTGTAGAGATGATCACATTCATCAACATTTTAGTTAGACTAAAACTTTTCAGTTTTGTTGTAGTGAATACCAAGAATTTGTTCATACCTCTTCGTGTGTTGTGTTCTCATCAATGTATGCTGTCCTTTGACCCATCCCTGCCTGTGTGTGCAGGTATTTCTCATGCTCTTTTGGAGTCTTGTCCATTTCTTTTGGTAGCAAATAAAATACAACTTCAAGAGGTTTAGGCTTCTTGGCAGGCATCAGAGATGTAGGAGGGAAACGTCTTTTTCCTCTCCCTCTTAAGAAAATACCAGGAAAGGACCTGTCAGAAATAAAAATAATAAATTATTGATAGCAACCATTATGAATTGTGTGTTTTTGTATTACAAAGGAACCAACAACAAAACTAAATACAGTATACAACAGGAAACATGTTGGCCTATTTTCTAAATTTCATGTGCAGAGCTTTTACTTTAGGATAATTTCACAATTCTTTACCTGGTCATTTCTTGTTGAACCAATGGTCTTTCAGGATTGATTATGTTGCTGCTGTGGGCAACTTGGCTTTGGTCTCTGCAAAATGTTAAAAAAGACAATTTCTAAAATCAGAATAAAGTTAAATGACTATGAAGTATTAAGCAATGAGTTCAGTTTAAGTAAACCTTGTATTCTGATCCATAACAGCAGTAGTTCTGCGAGATGATGTCAGCAACTGCAGAAGGTGTGTTGCTGACTGAATAATTGCATCTTGACTAACCTGAAACAAATGTATAATATAAAGGAGAAAGTTATTTTATATACAGAAGATTTCACAATAGACTTTGACAGGTTTACATTTAATTATCATTAAATTTAATTATTCAAAACTTATTAAATATCATGCATTTCCAGTTGTACAGATTTTCCAAAAAAA